AACTCAATTCTTTATTTTATTTTTATTATTAAATTACATTACACTCACCATTTGAATAATACTTATTTACTCTTTTACTCTATCTTGAACATTCTCAATCACACAACGCACTATATTTACACATAACATTTCTTTTAATAACAAAAAAATATTATTATTTAACATAATTACAGTCATCACGGTATACGACTTCAATGAAATAGGATTAATGTAGACTGAAAATAAGAAAACGCTAGTTACAATAAATATGGAGAAAAATAATGAAATAAGTACAGTAACACTAGGTTTTAAGAACATATTAAGTACGCCACAGAAATAAATCAAGATCGAATGACCAGAAGGCGGGACCACCGTGCCAATATTTCCTATTTTTTATTATTAAATATCTACAAAAATGAAGTGGTTCACTTCACTAAAACACGATTTGGCCGCCTTATAACCAATATAATCTATAATATTTCTGTGGCGTACGCAGTATTCGCATAATCCAGACAAGTTATATTTTACTTTGTCAAAGAATAGCGTATTCGATACAATTCCCATTTTCTAAAAACGTAAACCTGTTTCGTGCACCTAGAACTTCGTACAAACTTGCAAACTTGCGTTATTAGAAAACGGTAAATTAACAAAAATACTCGGCTTTAATTTTCTCAATTACGACATTTTCTCAAGTAATTACTTCTCTTTACTATAGTGTCACATATCATAATATAATAATACATGTGGTAGCACTATATTTTATTGTAATTATTATTATATAACCATATTTATTAACATAACTCAATATAACATCTCCAAAATCATGAAATATAAGCTGATTTTCAACATTCTATATCAATGGTATGAATAAGTTATTGAATTCTGAAAATGGTGTAATAGTCTACATTCAGTGATTTGAGAGTTTTGTGCTTTGTGTAATTTAGAAATAATTGTTACTTTATTAAAAAATCTATAAAATGTAGCTTTGACGTTACAACTTAAAAGACTGTTTTGATTGAATTGTCTTAAGAGTGCGCATAATGCTGATGAAAATTTAAATGAAATCACGAGATCTGTGAATGGAAGACCAGTGGATGATGAATTAATGACGTATAACGCTGAAAATAAGGATCAAAAAGATTCTTGATTAATCAAAAAGTATTTAAACAAAAATCGAATCTCAAGTTTCTAATTTATAAAAAAGAATATGCCTAATAACAACAACAATAAATTATATCGTTGGTAAAGATAACTTTTTATATCATATTTTGGCCTCGTGCTTTCTGAGCAATGTGAAGTAGCTTTCTCAATTGATATAAGTAATTTCAATTATGCGTCCTCTTAAAAACTATGTTTCCTACATCTTGGTTCACATACATTACATTTGCTATAAATTTAAGAATATCCGCGCGTTTCTAACCTTCACAAACAGTCGGCAAGGAAGCAATATCGTAAGGGTTCTCTTTTCTTTACAGGTGCAGTCAACTACTCGTCAGACTATACATAACTGTCAAATTTCCCAACTCAAGTTTAAACCTTAATCCATTGCTGGTAGCGGTCAAGGTCCATTGCAGATATTTAACATATAGTGGTGACCTGACATGCAGACCAGGGGGCCAATTCTCTAAATAAATTTTAGTTCTATTTTAGCTGGAATTGTATCGTATGTTACTAAGTAGAATAGGAAAACCATTAAAAACTGTAGTTTCGTTCGGTTTCGATCCGTTTTCGATTCGATTTGAACAAAATTTGTTTAGTAGAATTGGCCCCCTGTATTGTATAAACACCCTTAAAAATACAGTATGTCAGATTTAGTGTTATTTCTACTAAACATCGTGTAAAACAATATAAAAAATAGCATCAATATTTTGTATGACAATAATAAAACTTTTCTCTAACACTAATACTTAACTTACTAAGACCGCCTCATAGTTAACATTACGTTGATTTCCCAAATAATAGTTCTTAGATTAGTTATCACTTCCTTCAACTGTTTATTTTTTAACACCACCTGTAAAGAAATATATGAATAATTAAGCATTATATAGGGTGTTGTGTCAAACATTCATCATTAATTTTTTTGGATTCCATACCCAATGTGTAAAACGGAACCCTATTACTAAGACTTCGCTGTTATGTGAAAGTAAAAGTTTGTCAGTCCTGTTAGGTCCTGGGTTGCTCAGTGGTTAGAGCAGTCGCCCGATTTGCGAAAGGTCGTGAAAAATTTGTAATCGAGAGTTTGAGCTTATTTATGAGGCACACGGTTAGCGAATATATAAGAGGAAGATCTCTCCAGTTCCTTAGCTGCTGTTATTGCTTAGTGGAATTTGGTGGAAAAGATCAACTCTTTTACTTGGTCGGAGCAACTGTTGGCGATTAGCCTCGTGTTCTTTGGTCTTCTGTATGCAGGTATAGGCAGTAATCGAAAATAAATACGTTTTTCTTTCTGGTTGTATTTAATATACTATTACCAATAATCACACTTTTATCCTTAGTATATTTATATTGCTTAAATCGTGTAGTTTTCAAGAAAAAAGTAAATAAGTTGAATATATTTGAAATATAATTTTTTTTTTTTGGATACCTGTTCTGTGAGTTCTCTGTTTTCCTCGAGAGCAAGTCTGTAAGATTCTGTATTCCGTCTCTCGTCTAATGTCTTGTTCTCCGCTTCATCTTTCAGAGGAATGAGGCTCTCCATATGTGTGTACTCCATACCCTGAATATATATATCGTGAATATTAAACGAAAGATATCTTATTCAGACATGGAAACATCGTATCGCTTAAATAGGCATGATGACAAATTTTTGTATGTTTATCCGACAGCTAGATTATTGAAGGATATTAAACAAGTATTTTTATTTTGTCCATAATAAATAAATTATGAATTGAATAAATATATACATTGAATTGAAATGTTAACATTCGTCTTTCCGTCAATAATTGTCGCGATATTAGCTAAATAAATGGTGTATCATAAGTTTCCAAAGCTATTAAGAACTTTTAAGAGTATCTTTTCTTTGAGTAGCATACCTGGCAAGTTTCGTTACACTTCTCGTAGATGAGCCTCAGCCGTTTGAACAGTAAGCGGATCGTGCGGAGTTGTTCTTGCATTTTAGCTTTCTTGTCATTACTGGCGTTTTCGCCGTGCTGTGTACCGTTGGGCGGCTATAAAAAAAAAACCGAATAAACCACAATTCAAAACAAAATATCACTCATTCAAAAATGCTTATTTGAAAGCAGTTTTAACAATCCTTTCGTCTTTCGATTAAAAAAAAAGGATTAATAAAACCCAATAATTTTAAGTAATCAATGTATGCCTCTCCTAGATGTTGTTAATCTTTTAATATACTTAAACAGAAAAAAATTGTGTCGATTTTTTTAATACAATAAGTATTTGTATTTGTGGGGTTGTATATTTGTCCTTTTCTAATGTGTAAACTAAACCAAGCTCTTATTTCTATTTTTATATGAAACTTACTTGAATAGCCTTTAAAGTCTGAAAAACGTCTTGTGTTCTACTGACGATATCTTGTACTGTTTCTTGACCAAATCTGGAAACCAATTTAATAGTAAACTGAATTTAAAGTTTCACTACATAAATAAAAATTAAATTACTGCATGAATACAATATTTGGCAACTTCCACGCTCGACGGTATATAAGTCCGGAAATTGTTAATGCGCTGGAACTTTGTCCAATAAAACCCGCGTGACGTCATTTGATTTGAATATAAAGTATTGATAGCAGAAAATGCAAGAGATAATTTATTTATTAATTATTGAAATACTTATGAATAATCCCCAAAATGTATTACAATAAATTATTAACTTTCAGTCTATTAAGTTATTGAATTTTTTTTATATAAATTTTTATCTGCAAATTATTTGGAAACAAAAAAAAATTGAAAAGATTACATTAACATTGTAATAACGTCTTTTAAAACATCGAAATTATTAAATGAGTGATAATAGATATATTATTTTTTGTGAAATAAGATTTACTTTTTGTAGAAATCATAATAGCAGTTGCTATTTTTGTCAACCATAACAAGTAAAATCAAAACTTAACAATTACAATCGAAAACAACAAAAATATAACTAAACAGTGTGTAACCTCAACACAACGGAACTCAATAAGTGTATTCGCCAACCAGTGTTTATTTGTTAACGGTACTGATTGTTGAACACAATTACGTCACCAAAATGCCGGCCAGGTGCATTAGCAATTTGCGGGGATTTAATTCAGTAATAATGTAGTCAGACAAAAATATGATCTGACACCCTACAGTTGGGGTCTGTCAGGAAACAACACAGCTATGATTAATTCAACTGTCAGGCACCACAATTAACAGAAAACACATCATAATTAAGTATCTAAACGCTAATATAAAAGTTAACTTTAGGCAAAAATTTGATCTCATAAAAACTGACAAAACAGATCTTTGATAAATGATTGTATACAATAGCTAATCTATACTAACATTATAAAAAGTTTAGGCTCCAAAACTACTGGACAGATTCTAAAGTGTATTTCACCTATAGAAAACTACAAAACAGACAGGTGACAAATTTACACTTATAAAGTAAGCACATGAAGTCACAATAAAACAGATACCTTTTTAATAGATATCCTAAAATGTTGTATTTCGAATTTCATTAAACATTTTATACTTAGTGTAATATTCAATAATAATATAAAGTGAATGTCAGTTTGTTTGATATGTCATAATTAGAACATACTTGCAGAGAGAGGCGGTGTTGAACTCCTTGTTCTGTGGCGGGGGGGCAGCAGGCGCAGCCGGCACTGCCGCTGCCACCGTACCAGTCGGCTGCATACCACCTGATAAAACAATACTATGAAAAAACAGATATAATGGTAATCCTATTAATATTATAAATGTCAAAGTTTCTTTGTTTGGATTTTTATCTGAAACTACTGAACAGATTTTGATGAAATTTGATATTAATAGGATAATATAAAAAGGCTATTATACTAGGCGGAAAGCTAGTATAATAGTAATGTTTAGTAATTGGTTTATAAAATAGTAATGCACTACCTAACCCTATCTCATTAGACTATAGGCATTACCATACAAAAACTATATAGACCCATTGTGGTCTCTTTCTTTGCAATCCATAAGAGCAGACAATATAAAGAGTGAATAAGTAATATCAGCGCTGATAGATAACTACCTGGTTGCTGTACAGCTTGTGGTCCTAAACCACCACCAGGTGCACCACCAACACCCACACCCATGCTCTGAAACAGATACATACAGATATACACATGAGTTAAACAGATTTACAAAAAAACATGTTTAATATATAACACTCAACATACTATTTAAAAATCATGTTATTTTAAAACTTCATATTACACTTTTTTTATTTCGTTAATGAGAAAAAAATTGCTTACATTAAATTTCTTAGTAAAGTCATTTAGAATATGTTCAAGCTATGTATGAATTTGAATGCAAACTGTAATCAGGTTCACTGTCAAGCCAGTGAATATGAAACTAAACCAATTTTATATATTTTCATTCACATATACCATCTAGATTTTAAAACAACAGTTAAAAATCTATCAAAGCCAATAATAGATGTAACATAGTTGTACCTGAGAGCCCATACCCATGTTGCCCATTTGATTTTGCATAGCTGCACCATATGGTGTGACCATTTGATTTCCCATTCCCACCATTCCACCTGTATTTGCCATCGGACCACCCATGACTCCTGAAGAATTAAAATATATGTTTTATGATAAATTATTGTTAAATCTTATTTATTATTTGCAAGTCTAATCATCAATTGAGGGACTATAGGAAAACAATAACAAATATTGTCAACGTTATAGATTTCCTAAAGCTTTATAGATGCTTTACAAATGAAATATATTCACTAACATCATGATTTTGACTTAAATTTTTAAAACGACATTGGCGAAAAGAAACTTTATTTAAACCATGTGAGCATTGTCATCATCTTTGGTGTCGCTCACATAGGTTTTAAGTTGTTAAGTAGTAAACCAAGTTAAGTAATCAAAGCGTTACCTCCAAGCTGATTCGGCATTCCTTGCATTTGAGCTCCCATAGGTCCAGTGCCAAAGCCGGACCTCATTGCGCCAGGATTGGCTTGGAAATTACCAGGAAACTGGTGGCCTTGCCCAGCCATGGCAGCAAATCAGTTAATGTTATGTTATGCTATTTAAACATTAAACAAACAAAATTATGGCATACAAATGCAGTAAATGATATTCTATTATGCTTCACTCGGCCTATGTTGTGTTCACAGAACAATAATACGTTGTGTTAGTTAAGGTATGTCAATGTCAAGCAGCGTTGATATCGAAAAAAATCTGTGTTGCCGGATATCATATTCTGATTTGCCGCATTTTGAGGGAAAAGATATTAAAATGCCGTATAATATTTGAAAATCTTTATTTCCCGTTTGTTTCTAGTATCAACGTATGTTAACGTTTCTATAACATGAGATTCATATTTATCTAGCCTTTGCTCTCCTTGCTCCTCATTTTGTTATACATATCGCGCGACTCATTAAACTTCGTACAGTTCCCTAAATTTTGAAAAAGTTGTCTTGCTAATAGTTTTATTTACAATTGATGTCATTAACTTATTTCGCATCTTGGACTTCGTATTGTTCACTTGCCTGAGTAATCTTTCCCAATTTGCATTACTGTGAGAAAGACGTAAAACGTCTAGAACAAACTTCGCTAGATAATTTATCGCCGCATATTTTATTTATTTATTTAATCTTTATGCCTATAACATAGCAATGGCGGACTACTGTTGTCGATATTTTTGTTTTATGTGTTTACTCTTTTTGAACGGAGAAAATCTTCAGAGTCATAATCACTAATTTATCAATATAAATAACCAGTAAACACTAATTAAGGAATTATTTCTCTCAAAACCGTAACAAACGAATGAGCTCGAGTATTATGTTTAAGCTATTCAACTCAAAGAGTCAAAGATAAACCCAATACCAATACGTTGTTTCATTCATTTTTAACTAAAGCGAAAAATATAGCATTATACTCGATACAACATATCATTTTACTTACAGCCATTTACCGAATTTTTTGATACGGCTATAAAAGACCCGCCGTATACCGAACATTGTTCGAAAAAAACATGGATTACCGTATATTACGGCAATTGCTGTATCAATAACAATACTGATGTATTTTTTTTATTTTTAACTTGGATGCAAAGTTCTAAAGCCAAAGCTTTGTTAGCACTGTCTTCGATTTTATCAGTTTCAAAAGTTCTTTAATAGAAGATTTTTATATACTTGTTTAAAGGCACAAAATATTCAGATTTTTCCAAGTAGTCTTTTAAGCGGCGGGACACATTATTCACATTTTTACACAGACCACAAACACTCGCGAATACAAGTCTTTGCATACAGAACTGAAAACATCAAATATTGAATGCATAGTCAAGGCATAGCATGAATTTTCAGCTGGGATTACTTATCACAAGATAGAGTAATCCCAGCTGAAAAGAGAGCTGAATGAGATATCAAATACAGAGGCTATTTGTCCCTGTCTAATAGGGCGACAATAACATTTTCATTATGTGAGACTTTTCATGTAATACTTTGTGAGTGGTTAACAAAAATTAAAATCACACTAACTGTTTTCCCGAGACTTTTTTTAACAATTACATATTAGGTATATACATTCTCACTATATGTCAATAATTCTTTCTCTTATCTTTGAACGTCGTTCATATTTCCCCAAACGTCAAACGAAAAATTAAAATCAGTGTTGGCGTCACGGAGTGCGCCAAGGTAAGCTGAAGCCGAACTAAGGTAAAGTCGTAAGGGTAAAGGTAATAACACAACAAAAAATTTAGTTAAGTTTAGAAAATGACTAGCTTATGATAATTTGGTGTGAGTAAATAAAAGATTATTTATATATTAACTAGCAATGCTCTTCGTCCGCGTAGAATAGTGACTTTTTATTTCATTTCAAGGACATAATTAAGTTAAATAAAAAATCGTTACCTTCAGTAAAATCGAAACGCAAAAACACTAACAATTTTTTTTGAGGTCAGTCCCAGATAATTAATAGAAACATGGGGCCAAGTGGATTTTTTGTGCATTTTTTTATTAGGAACATTATATTTATTTTTAGTTATTCAATATTAATGAGGAAGTATTTAAAAAAAAAATTGATTTCGAAATCAAACTAGATGTCGCTACGGTACGTTCTTGATTTCTCCATGACAACCTTTTCGGTTTTCTTTTATATTTAAAAGTAAATTAGTTTTCAAAACTCAATTAACAACTCATATTCTATTTGTACTTTTTCGTATTTGTATTAATATCTAAGGCTCAAACTTTTCAAATTTCAGTTTTTCAATATGTTAGTTAAAAGGAACGGAAATAACTGTCTGGTCCATTCGTTTCCTGCAAAAATCAACTTTTGCTAGGGTTGCCATCTAGTCGAGGTGCTTTTTTAGTGCTTTCGTTTTTAATTACATACTTCCTCATTGTTAGATAAATGAGGTGCTCATGAATTGGGCACAGATCACGGCTGCACATTAGGTTACTACGATTCGTCAAACTCCCCAGTCGATTTTAAGCTATACCCTCAAAACATTAGGTTTAAAATCAAGTGGAAAAAAACAGATATGTATAGCCTGACGTGTTGCTGACTGTACTTTTCAATATCTCCAATAGCAATATACAATCGTGTGTCGCAACGTGATAAAATTTAAGGCATTAGTAAGTTAAATAATGGAACTCATTTAATCAATCTCATATAAATATATACGTTTATTTTCTTCTTTATTTAATCCTCAATGAAAAATGCTTAGAAAATCCACTTTGCCCCTGGTACTCTGAAATTCCGAGTATCCACTCCGAAAACTAGGGACAAAGTGGATTTTCTAAGCATTTTTCATTAAGATAAGAATATTTTCCAGTACAGCATTATCAATGCAAAATTGATCAAATATAATAATATTTTTTTCTTCAATGTTACGTTGGCACAGTTCCAATGTGCGGCGAAAAATTGACAAACTATTTTTTCGGAAGAATGTACCTAATAAAAATAGCTTTCATAGGCGCACTCATTGAAAAAACAAAATAAGACCGTCGTCATTTTATTTATCACCCAGATGATTCTTTACAATAGTCATTTAGAAAGAAAGTCAGTGATTTAGGTTATAACCTATATATATACTAATATTATAAAGAGATAAAGTATAATTTTGTTTATTAGTATATAGCCGCTTAACCCGCTATAGACTATAAATTACGCGGGTGAAGGAAGGCGTGGGAAAACAGCCAGTAAAATGTATTAGACAACATCATATACATTGATTATATTACAAATTAAATAGCTTATTATTAACGAAGATACCACAACAGTCAAATTTGAGACAAAATCATAAAAAATGAACTTTTCTTTTAAGGAGTAACAGTGTAGTGACAACTGTATATGCCATTGATTTGTAAGGAAGACATTACACTAATAATTTTAGAATTCGGGCAGATAGTACAATAGCAAAATGCGATAGTACAATGGCAAAGTCTCAACTTGACATTTTATTGAGATGCGATTATTACGTAAAAATATGTAGAATTGAGGACAAAAACAGAGACCATTCATTCACGGAGACATGTGTATATGTATAGTTAATTAGAATATTTTTTAATGTCTATTCTTGACCAATCTGTGTGTGGATAGCCAACACGTACTTACGTCAAAAGTCATAAAAAGGAAATTGCCCATCGTAGTATGAAATTTGGTTTCGCATTGTATCATGACGTAACTCGCCTCCCTTTTTAAGGTTTCAAAAGTACATAATCATTCATAAAACATTTCATATATCGTTTGTAGGATTTGTAAGATAATATCCGGTTTCTGAATTAAGAATTTAAAGTTAAAAACGTCTCAAAGTGTACTTAAACGTCACTTAAATAGGCTTTCGTTTTTATTTTTTTCAGTTTGATAAAACTAGTACATTTTCACTTCTGAAACTTATAAAACTTAAGTTTTTAATAATAATCAGTTGAAATTTTGTACGAGTAAGTACTTTACAGAAATCTGCTGTATTTTTTTATATAATTTCAAATCAATTTTGCTCGATATCTATTATCGGATTTATAATGAAATGGAAGAATATGTTTTCATAAAAAATCCTTAAAACATCCACCAGCCTAAGGTGAGGATGACACGATACGAGTAAATACAAGTACTTACTACTATCAATACTTCATGACCGATACGGTATCGAGTAAAAGTATCGATACCTAGTATCGTTTCATACATAGCCCCTGGTACCCAGAGGTGTGACAAGAACCCACAACTTTTCGCAATTTTTAATTAAAAGATCAGCATTGAGAATACAAATTGATCAAACATATCAACATAAGAATTTTATACTGGCATCATTAATAAAATTGGTTTTTATTTGCTTTGATGCCTTGTGCTACGGTAGCTAACTGTTTAGGTTGATGGTGTGAGTCACCATTAAGGTACCTATCAGTATGTTTTACTTTACGTTACGCAGTAAAGCCCGAACTTTAATCAGGATTCCTAATGAATAATATATCTAAGAAGGCTAGTTTATGGTCTGCCTCTAATTCAAAAATAACTTTATCCGTTGGTAAAATAGTAAAGATGTCATCTACGTACCATTTATACAGTTTCGGTTGATTCCACAGAAGGTAGCCTGATATAAGGCGATGTTCTAGTAATTCTGCATATTCAATCGGCAGATCCAACGAATCGCAAAGCGATTTTATGTAATCAACTGTCTTTTTGAGGATCTTTGTGATCCATTGTAATCTGACCTATCCATTATTACCGTAGCCCTTTATAAGTCAAATGTTCCTATTTTAAAAATAATTTAAAAAAAGGTAAAATATATATATTTTTTGTTTTATGAATATGTCCAATAGTGTTGGTTTTTTAAGGTAGATAAGTCTTATGTGAACACGGAATCTGTAAAGGGTCCGAAACGTAAACAAAACTAAATATAAATGCGAGGAAACCAGTTAAAAGTTGTTTCATTTATGGATAGTGTGCGTGAATATATAATAAATTAATATGATAAATTAATAAAAATGTTATGTTACAGTTTTACTTAAGTACCACACTCTCCCGAAACGGCTTGATTGATTTTGCTGAATCAGCCAAGCCGTTTCGAGCAGCAAATATATTCAGTATATCTGGGAAAAGGTTTTTATTTATTTTTATACCCCTAATTGGTAAGGTTGATTCACCCTTAATTTGTATGGCAAAACGTTTGCTGGATCAGCTAGTAATTTATTTATATTCCATGACATAGTGGGATGAATCTCAGAAACAATACTAATAAAACACTGAATCTTCATCTTATAAATTTATTTTTCATTTATTTATATTATCCTAAATTAAATACATTGTAGTATAATTTTAAATTAATTATAACAATTATTAGGTATTTATTTATTATGAATTGACATTCATATAAGTATGTAATACATATAAATTAATAGTTGTGCTTAAAATTACTGTGAATGAAATGCACTATAATGGACTGCTCAGTGCGAAAATGCACTGAATTCTATTTACCTGTATGATACATGATATGTGATGTTATAATAATGTCATATAATTTTGTAATTAAAGTACATATACGTAAGTACTATTATATTAAGGCAAGATGGCCACCGCTTTATGGCTTATACAATTAACTGTTTCTTTTAGTATGTACCTAAATTTTAATCTACTTACATTTATGTTATTATTATTGTGTATATTTTAATATATGGATCGGACCTTTATTAAACTCAATGACCGAAGGCGTATAAGAGAGTCAGTCCGATCGTTAAATATTTAACAATTTTTATTACTCTTCCACATAATAAATAGTTATCAACATGTAGATTTACAAATATCAACAAAATAAATTACGAATAACAGCATATTACAATAAGATTAGCCTTATATAACTAAACTTCAGTGATATCTTATCTAGTGCCCCTAACTTGTACTGTGTCGCCGATCCAACCCATTATAAGACGTCATAACGTTACCACAAATACTATTATGAGAAGTCCAATAACTGCTTCAGCATCAATTCAATTTTCAGATTCTTAATATCACTCTATAGCCAAATAGATTTACAATCTTTCAGGCCAGATATTTAAGAAATAAAGGAACAATGTGAAAACTATAATAAAAATATTTTACAAACTTAATAGTATTGCGGATAAATTTAGAAATTGATATAGAAAAATATACATCAAACTTTTTCTTAACCAATAGATCCAAAAATAATAATCTATTTGACAACTTCGTCTTTAGTGCTATTAAACACATCGAACACAGAGCTGTTACAGTATAGAAGTACGAGCAAATAAAACCTACTTGAAAATGAAATAAAGGTTTTATTTCATTGAAGCTGCATGATGTGACAGCGCTGCTTTCGAACAGAAAAAAAGCTTTTGTTGTCATGACGTTTAAAGAGAATTACTGAAACAGAGGGTTTTATATTTTCTAGAGATGACGACCGGCGAACTTTTAAAAATCATTACATTAACATTACATGGACTAGTAATTGAATTATTCTAACTAATAAGTACCCTATACCGCTTTGGAGAACAAATTGTATTCAAGGGCCTATAATACAAACAATATACTTTACGCGGAGAGAGATATAGTTAAGTACATTACTTAAGATTAAATTTATAATTATAATTAGCCCTTTATTGCTCTCCATCAACCTTAAGCTAAACCAAGTCCATCGTGGACCTATTGAGCAACATGGACATGTTAAAGACCTAGAAACTAGACTTACGAGCGACATGTCTCCAGAGAGCAGACATTATAATGACAGCTCACATATCTTCAATTTCCAATGATTGCCAAAGATCAAAAGTATCCTAATGGATTGCTAAACTTCGGATTGTAAGATCTTCTATCGAAATTAACCTTATAACATAATTTTTAAGACTGTAATAGTTTAAACGAATACATAAAATAAAACCATAAAAACTTAAATGTACTCACCTTTTTCTAAATATGTTTATTTTTCAATGTTTTTAATATTATCAAATAATTCACAAATAATATACAAAATAACAACTCCTTGAGACGATGATGATGATTGAAATTTGAAGAGCTTTCATCGAAAGATATGGTATTAACAATCCAAAAGGAGATATTTGAACTAACAATGTATTATATTGGTCTAAAACAATCGCCTCTTTCACCAGGCAAAAATACTACGTCTGCCATCTCATCCAAATACAGACACATTTTGATATAAGCAATCCGACATAAGTACAAAGGATAATAATTTAGAAGCTACGTAAAATGGAAATTACAGGAAGATAAGACGTCCATTAATAAATAAGCTTGTGATAAAATTTTCATGGAATAACATATAAGACGCTGTTAACTTTTTTTTTTGTGTACATCGCTTTTATAATTGCTGTTATATTAAAGTAAGTGAAATTTTGCATTCACATATCAAGAATAACGTATATTTTAATTTTTCTAAATATTAATTACTTTATAGATTGACTGGCTTTTCTTTTTTATGGAATGAGAATACGAATGAACTATTTCAGATAGGCCTATTATTTTTGGTTTAGTCTAGAAAGATTTGTTGGTCTTACTGTTATAGTATGTAACTGATTTATATATGATTTTATATAGTCAAAGTCAATAACCTTATTGTCATTTAACAGCTGTTTGCTCCTATACGCTAGTACACTAGTTAATTACAATATTGGATAATGAATGAAAATTTTATCTTTATTAAAAAATATATCTAATGTTAACCTACTTAGTATAAAAAATAGGAAAATATGTATGATGTCAGGAAGTTGAATAAGTGATTCTAGAATAAACGTGTAGGTTATTTATAACGTAGTTTTTAAGCTTTTAAAAATATCCTCTATTAACTAGACGTACTCTTTTATGTAGTTAATTTATAATACCATCTAACCATGGTTATTACAAATGCGCACTTACGCCATTTAAACTCTAAGTAAAAGCTCACAGCTTTGGTCATTGATTAATATTTTTGGTTGATAGATTCAACTAGTTCTAGACATCAACTATGCTTTAGTATAAATATTTGGCTTACTGCGGTAACGAGAGTAACCTTTTGTCTCTGACTTAAAAAGTGTATTATATGAAAGTTCTTTTTTCAAAGTAAGTAAATATATATTTTTTTTACAACCACTTGTCATCTATCACTCTCTCATAATACCCTTTAGTAAACAGGGTTTTACATTACAATATTCCGTTTTAAATATTACCTTCAAGCATACATTAGTAAAACTTTCGAGAACAGACTTTGTTTATGTCGAAATAAGGTTTAGAGTTGTTTTGGTATATTAGCTGACGTGAGATCTACTGCATTCTCGCTTCTTGCAGCTGAGGGGGATATGGGAGTGGGGGTAAAAGAGGGGCCTGCACTCCACCTCCTGGCAACGCGTAGTATGGAGATACGTAGCCTGCCCCGGTAGCCGCCGCTGCCGCTGCTGAAACATACATATCTTTTTTAAACGTAAGGATGTAATGCACTAATAGCTTACAACTAATTTGGAATGTTGTCGAAGTATTTCTACTGCCACTCACTCCTAAAAACAATATTTATTCGCACATAATAAAGCTCTTAGAATAATAAGCTTTCAAGATTATTTTGAAATTAAATAAAATATTTAAGTGGAGTCGGGAATCCTAGTAAAAAATAAGTTAGGTCTCCCAATTCTTTCTTTCTTTTATTCATATTTTTTATTAATTAGATATTTAAGTTTTTATACATCGTTGTTAAATCGACTAAGATTAATATGCAGTAGTATAATCCAAATGGTTGTGCCAACCTGAAGCGGATTTAATTGCAACTTGAGACAAAAATTTGCAGCAAAAAAATCACTAAGTACCTATAATCAATTTGCATAGAATCTTATGATATACCGACTTCATAAATCAGATATCTATGAGATTAAAACCAACCTGCGGCGGTAGCATATGGATCGAATCCTGCCGCTGCGTATTGCTGCTGATATGCCGCAGCGCCCTGCGCAGCCGCAGCCTGGTATTCATATAAGTGGTTTGCGGCCGCTACCGCTGCAGCATGTTGCAGCTGAGGTAGTTGTACCAAGCCCCCTGCACCAGCGCCGACCCCAGCTCCCACCCCGCCCATTGTCCCTACGTAACCAGGAGCGCCATACACGTACCCAGGAGACAACCTGTCGATCAATTTCTAAATCAGAACCCAATTTCGGATACGCTACAGGGATTCAGACGTTTAAGAAATGGAACTCTTTTTAGATTCAGTTGGTTTCAGTTCTACGACTCGTTACAACAAAAGGAAAAATATATGTATGCTCTAAATTTCTGGCCATTCCTAAACGTCTGATATCAAATATCCTGAGATGCCCTCTCACAGCAGTAATATGAGTAGATACAGAGAAAATTAGCCGAAGTTATTCGCTCAGTGAAAGGTCATCCATGTTGCATATTAATACTGTTTAAAACTTCATCACACTATTACCTAGCCCCATTTGCAGAGACAGCCACGAGCATCTAGTCTTGTTATGTTAGTAGACATCGATAAACAGTTACAGTAAAATCAAAATGTAAGTAGGTAGACGATTTATTTTCGCTGGAGTATGTCGTCGCGGAACCACAGCCGTGCGTCACTGCCAACGTAGTTTAAAAAAACTATTATAAAAATATTGGGAACGGGAGCGTCCACTCCGCGTCGACCGAAATATCCGGCGTTTCCTATTTATCGTCAGAACGTCGGGAGACGTCGTGGAAATTAAGATTTAGATGCTGGCACGTGTCAATTACGAAATCCCTAAAGCTTTTTTGATACGGTAGAAGTTATACAAATCAAATGGACATATTTCAGAGCTACAAACATTGAAATGTACCGACATTTCGCAGAAGTTTAGAGAGCAGATCACAGCAAATCACTACATCTTGTCAGCGCAAGGCTGCGAAGTGTCGACTCCGCTTAATTTGTAGTATTACACGAAGGCGGTCAAGTGTTCGTCAAGAGGGGGTGCGGCGCATCTTGCAAACTCAGCGCTTTTCTAGGGTACTCGTTTTTCAACCACTTTATTACCAATAGAACTTGTGGGATGCACTACTTCTGTCTCCTTTCAACTGTAAGCGTTTGAGGGAGATGTGCAGCTATAAGATCAAGTTCAGTAAAGTTATGGTTGTAAAGCGGTATTCGTGATAAGGCGCATGCGTGTATACGCCCGCCCTAACGCCCCGCCCGCCTAAACGCCCACCTGTGGTTTACTGATGCTATTTGCGAATACCTACTTTGTTTAACCTTAGAAACTTGCTCTATTATGCATTTTGGTGTCGAAGCGGTGACATTTCGACCTTCCCTTACATTCCAGACGTGATAATATGTAAGTGTTGTGTCAACTGGCACAATGATGAATAATGTAGATGTTTGAGGTATGTGAACTTATTTTATTCGTCAGTTTAAATTTTAGTGTCAAATAATAAATAACACAATAGTAAATTCAATAATAGGTAAATTCAAACAGCATTATAAAACTGGCACACAAGCTGAGCTGAAACATCTACAAAGGTACAAAATCACAATCAATTACTAAAATAAAGAAATATTTATTTAAGGACAGGTTTAATAAGTTTAAGACAGAAATCAAGGAAATAAAAACTCACATAAACGGTAAAAAGTAAGTATTAAGTTAAATTAAATAAGGACGTAACATAGGTAAAGGAAGTCTAGAGATATAATGAAATACCTAGTTATACAAATGATATAGAAGCTCTATGCGCATACGGCAATATATGAACAATTACGTTCTAGTGTATAAATATTGACGTACCAGGTCACTCTCTAATTAAAATCGTACCTACAGTTTATTTTGAATTGAAACAAAAGGGCAATGATTCGAATGAAGCTTGATTATTTTTCAATTAGACCATGAGTTCCGATGAATATTATATGAACGGCTGTGGTGGGCAAACGCGTGTGCCAGTGGCCCTGGCCGAGCATCGATCGGCTGAGGTATCAGTAATTAAAGGCTGAGCACAGCCGGTGTATCGTCGGCGCGGTGGAGACGGTCCACTCGCGTCGAGGGAGCGCGCACACCTACGCACACACAGCGCTGCCTCGACGCGCTCGACCCTTGTAAGTGTATTAAACGAAATCCACCACCAACAAAACTCAATTCAAATCAACAAAATCTTACAACGAACACGGCATAAAAACATAAAATAAAAACATTGAGTGTCGGACGATGCGTATAGTGACGCTGGGCGGCGCGGGCGAAGCGGTCGCCTGCGCCGCCCATGCTTTAGCTTCAAAAACGTAAACATTAAAAAACCCAATCGACTAATTCACACCCAAAACGAAAAAATCCACTCGCACGCTCACTCTTGCCATAGATACCTATGTGAAAATGTTTGATAATTTAGTCTAGGTGTAGTCCGCCGGCCGCCACGTCGCTAGCCGTCCGGGGACGCCGCTCGCATCATCTACCGAGACAAAATTCAGCTCAAAAATCTGTAGCCGTTCCATCAACGTCACCTGATAAAAACATTGGTCACGCCTACCTTAGAATGTTTAACGTTACATAATGTGTATTCTGAACTAGAGACAGGGATTTATATTGCGTAAATACTACGGGAATGTTACCTAAATCATCATGATATACTGTTAATATTTTATCTATTAATAGAAATATCATAAATGTTCAGAATTCGTCACGAATATAGTTTAAAAATAATCACCTAATCTAATTTACTAAATTGTTTAATTATATATATGTCAACATTATGATGATATCCCTAAGGTCTGATTTTTGTCTCGTGAGATGTAACAGAGCGGCATGCGGCACCGCGAGTGCTGGCAAATATCGAAGTGTTGAACCATTGAACATTGATATAGAGCTCAGTGTGCGGGGGACGCGCACTCACCCATACGGAGAAGGTAGCACAGTAGGGTAACCAGCGCGCACTCCTGCCGCTGCCGCCGCAGCCAAACCAAACCCTGCAACAATAACACACTAATAAACTTCTGTGACACTGATAGAAAATTCAAATGAAATACAGCTAATACATGTATCTTTTTTCATCGTCTACGTTCCCGAACTCTATTTTGGTATACACTTAACGGAAGTGGCTAGACATGATTCAAAAATGTACAGAAGAGATTGGAATACATCCAAACGACACACGAGTCAACTTAGCGCAGGCGAGGCGACGTCAAAGTGTTAATTTCTTTTTATTGCATTGTTAAGTCGCTCGAGGTGTTTATTTCTGTCGCTCCGTCCGCCCGCCCGGGCATCGGCATTCAGGGTTGCGCTATTGACAAGAAGACGACAAACTCGCGCTATAAATGGCATGACAGTTCAGTAATTGGCACCGACAACGCATGTAACCAAAATGCCACGTGCCAAAGAAGACCTTTTATTGATTGACAGGGCACCATTTCCTGTATAACTACAAATTAGTACATTGCCATAAAAGCGATAGGTGATTAAGTGATGAAACGTCGAATTGCGAATAACATAGTTACATTAGGAAATGCGCAATCATAATAATACATTCTGATCATAAATCCTTGATTATCATGTAGTGTCCAGAAGAGCGTGACCTATGATGGACTCGAAACTGCTATTGTATATGGTGAAATTTTATCGGTGATTACAGCGGATCACATCCGGAGAGTCCGGATGATGATGCGGTTCGTCTACTACAGTAATGTCGCACTGACCTTCTACGGGGATGATTACGTTACTAACAAAGACCGAACCGAAAGCAAATGACATTAAAACACACGTTAGATACGTTATTATAATTCAAAAAGAGCACATTTACTTATTGATAAAACAAGACTACTTATTTAAAATATATTTAATTTATATTAGTGTTCCTATAATTTAAAACCAATATTTTCAAAACTTTTAAGATTCACTAAACTACAATTCGCCGCGTCCCCAATGGGAAAATTTAATAATGATTTCTGGTGATATCAGAAAATAAAACTTATTGCCAGTAACCGACACCATTTTTTATTTTTCAATAGCATAACAAATCTTATTCTCAATCCGGAATTATCTATTTCAACGCTCTTGGAGGCATTACTAGATAGCTAACGACCACTGATTATTCAACATGTTATTATAAGTCGTGTGTTTCTCTGCGAAATTATTAAAATCGTTTGTCATTTCCGACGACTATGATATTCCCTTTTCATAGGCTACAAACAGACAATTACTGATTCTGAAATCATAGGCTCGCGTGCAGTATATATTGAGCATGTACTGGCGCATTCGATCGATTCCATGTCATTTGACGGCCGAGGTCGGACTGTCCACCACAAGCTTATCTTGGTTCATTAATTTTTTTACCTTCCATTACCATTGTCACACTACCTAAATGATAGTCCTTTGTTATACATACGACCCAGATAGATTTTAGTTCGTAATCGATTGTTGAACGACACAATAGGTCAAACATTCGTATAATCAACAACTGTGTGTACATTATAGAACAAATGTGGAACATTTTCCTGTTAGAATATTGAAAAAAATATGCTATGTCATTTTATTCAGGAAAAGTTTCTCCTTTTCTTCTTCGGAATACAAAAAAAACGGTCTAACAAAATGGTTAATGACGAATACATCGATCATTAATAAATAATTATACCCTTGTAGTTTTTAATCGGTGCAAATGATAATCCATATGGAATCGCACGTGAGAAGTGCAGTCGTAAAATATTTTTACCAATTAATTAACGTGATCGACATCTCATTGAAACGTACTCTGTAAAACTTACAATACCCACTGATTACGGTTCAAATGATACGGCATAAGACCCTATGATAAATGTACGAATGGATAGACCGATGACGAGGCCATATTAAAAAAAAATTATACTGCACTAGAATATTGTGACTCGTATTTTTAACAGAATCATTGTGTAATTATTACAAAAATGAAATGCAGCTTTGTTTTGAATACTTCTATTGGCATTTGATACGAGTTCTGGATTTCGGGTCGTCGAACTGCAAAGCCGACAGAGAGTGCTTAACGTCGCTTGTAAGGATTCTACGGAAATACGATTTTAGACGCAGGCGCGGTTTGAGCGAGACGGACTACCCGACATTATACTTAATTCTCCCAACGTAGTATAATTCCAATACTAACAATTACAATCAAATATGTATTTCGGACATACAATATATACATAGCGCACACATAAAATTTTCAAATTCCAACCATTCGAAACGGATTCCTATTAATTTACTACTACCGAATTGACGTAGGTTCAAACGCGAAAGGAAATTGCCGCTTAATTCATTTATAGTGTTTTGACTACTTTGTAACCGTAATGTCGTGTAAGTTTACTGGAGCAAGAATAGTTCAGTCGTGGCCTAGTTCCATATGGCAAATCGCCTGTCTCAGGGACGCGTTTAACCAATATCCGGTGGACTTTCCTTTGAATTGACCAGTAGCATAAGATTCGAGATACCAAAACAATACAAGAACTAGTAGATTCGTAAAAACATATGCATGACATGACCTTTTAACATAGATTTGAGACAATAAAAAAGAGTTGTTAAAAATTCTAAATTGAAAAAAAGAAATAATATTATCTTGAATTTTGATTCTATTCTGTGTTTATGACATTCCAAAATACATCTTTATTGCTTTTAGTGCGAATAAAACTTCAATGCGAATATTGTAATAGGTACTTGTTAGTGTGCGTTATGCGCTCCGACAAAAGATAAGCTGGCGAGAAAAGATGAGATTTTGGAACCGAGCCAGATTCTGATGTCGCGGCAGAGGCGGCCGCGACGACGTTCCCAAAACTGCGTATATTTAGACAAAATAAAGAGCGCGCCGAAGACAAAACGAGACGCAACTCTGTTTTATAAATAACCACGCCGTTCGCCGGACGGACTCTGTGCGGCCAGCCTCTGAATGCCAGCTGTTATACATAAATAATAATTAAGATATGAAGAAAGTTTCGTGCATATCAAGGAAATAGTTGAAAGAAAGATTATATTCTTTTATTATTTTCAATCTGAATTCCAATGAAAATACTGTCATATCATCTATGTAGACAACAACCGCAGTTGCGAATATGTTACTTATCTAATAGTTAGAAATAATTGTATTTGTGGGGTATAGGGCCGTTTAGCAGCAGTACGTCGTTGGAGGATTACGGAGGAGCACCAGGGCTTCACGGAAGTCGCGCCGGGTATCGTGTTACCGAGCGACGTGACAAAGGGAGCGGAACTACTACACTCAAGTGTTCCTGTGGCGACGACGCTTTGGATATTGTTCTAGGATCATTTACACGACAATTTTCTATTCTTAAATTAAAAAAAAATAATTCAAAAATATGAAATCTCTTGTTGCTATTATAAGAAAAAAATCTTAATGATTTGTTTGCGTTTTAAATAATGAAATATGAAAGTGCTTAAATTATTTAGTGTTAAGTTAACCAATGGCTTGGTATATGTAAAAATACCATTATTGGATTTGTGTTTTGTATTTCGATGGGTATAAATCAATAAATTTATAAAATTTCATTATGAAAATGAGAAAGCATAATTTAATATAAACCTATTCACTTAAAGTTAATGATTATAATTATTTTAAGTATCTATATTATTTTAAGTATCTTTAATAATCAGTCCGATAACTTATTTTCTTATATTCGACTGATCACGAAATTAGACAAAAATTTCTTAAGGAAAGCAATGTGAGTTAAAATTCTCAGATACCAACATTGATTAATTTGTACTAATAAAGAACCACGAAGTAATTTTATTGAATGAAAGTTGCTACAAGTATTCTTTTGAATCAAACTTTTAAGGTATATTCATTTATCTATTTAGTAATAAAAAGTTTATATATTAAAACACCATTTTTATGTCTACGAATAATTATAACACCTGAAGACCGATTCTATTTTCCTTTGATCGAAAATTTAGAAAACTTTGAATCATCTTAAAATTTTGTTAAAATCATATGTGTGAAAATTATCGTAACATTAGAAGCAATGTTAGGTCCTGCCTCCTTCATATCATAAATTATCGAAAATTGTGTTTCTTTGGAGTTGTATTGGCATTTCGAAAATGACGTAAGGTTTTAACAAAATTAGAATATGCCTTCAGGTGTCTTGTAAGAGTACTCAGTACTCTAACCAACTCTATAAAGTCATTATCTTACTAATTTTGACTTCACATTGATGCCTGTTAGGTTAAATACCATGATTTAGCTGGTCACTAATAGAATAAAGATGTATCACAAGTTTGATAACATCACGAGGTCATTTGCTGCAAACCCGCCATTATGGCTTCGCCTCATACAATTATACACAATGCGCTATGTTATCGATCAGCCATACTTTTGAATGGCAATCAGAATAACACAAAATCAAATGTGTGCCCACTTTGGTTTAATGAATTTTACGTTTTAATTGACAGTATTTTTAGTGGTTAATGCAACGTAGAGCCTGAACAAAGCTCAATGCGAACTGAGGGAAAAGAACAAAATGAATTTTCTTTACACCTCGCAAATACATGTCAAATGACATTAGAATTAAAAAAATATATATCCAATTATTAGGGACAAAGAAAATATAAGTATAAATATAGCCTTAAACATTTAGAAGGAATATTTTGTTTCAAAACGGTTCTAGCTCAGCATATGCTGGTTTTGTGATCGACGCTGATCTTCCGATTTGGTGAAAACACAAACAGTACACCATTATTATAAAGAGCTAAAGTTTCCAACTTTGTCTATTTGTTTGTAGTGGGAATCTTCGGAAATACTAATCCGATCATGAATACTGGCTACAAGGCTATCATTAAGTCGCAGGAGAACAACTAGTGTTTTCATTAAAAGCTACTTTTTAAGCCAATCTCGACCCTTTGGATTAATATACTTTTACGGAACTGAAAGTAAATTCAAGTACACGGTATAAAAGTTTCATAATATTTAATAATAGCAAAAAGAATATCGATGTGGGAA